GGAAACTGCAGATGCGAAAGTGATGACCTGGTAAATGGTAAAGAATAAACCAGTTTTATTTAAGAAAGGACTTGTGTCGCTAAAGTTTCGTCGGAACAAATTTACGGAAAATTAACTAACGAACGGAGAGTAACAATATTATTGCCTCAAAGTGAACGAGGTTTTTAGTAGGCTTAACATATGTTTTTGACTACTTTATTATATTACCAATCAATATATTTCCTTAGCCAAACATAAGGTCCTCTTAGTAGATTAAATTTTGTTTAGTATTTATTTATAGTATTTAAATGTTGAAACTTTTAATGATTTTTATAGTTGAAAAAGTCTAAAAAACCCTAGTTATTTAACATAACATTTCAGGACAAAAAGATTTGGTTCATCTAGGATGTCTCATCTACTATACAAATATATAAACTTAAAGCCAGCCCTTATCATTCAAATATTTATCTAGTCGTCCCTTAAACTCTTTTAAACAAGCTAGCCCCCCTGTTAGAAAAATAAAACTATCTTTGCTAAAAATGACTTCTACCCTGCCAACATTTAGATTTTCATCTCCTAGTCCTACCATTCTTAGCATTAAATACGAAAAAAAGATGATGCACTAACAACACAAATCATACACTTCAATCAGATTACTTCTACCTTTTCTTTTATTAAACGAAAATAATTTCAGAGATATTAACCTGTCCTTGTATTACAACTTTTCCATCCCAGGCATATTCCTACAAGAACAATTCAATGTCCTTCATAAGGTAAGGAGCACAAGACTGAACACAATACTCCAAATGTAACCTAACCAGTGACCGATACAATGAAATTATAACCACTTTAGAATTGTATTCAATATTCCTGTAGATTCAACCTAAAATCCTATTTGCCCAACCACTAGCAACAGCACACTGAATGGATGGCTTAAGAGACATCAACTATTACACTGTTACATCTCCGTTCGTTCGTTAATTAAATTTCCGTAAATTCATTCCAACAAAACTTTAGCGACAC